TGATTATTCCCGTTCTTGCCGTGTCTAATTGGACCAAAGTTATCGATCTATCGCCCGGGACTCACTAGATAAAACAAACAGAACGTGCTGGGACCAAGGAAAGGAAAGAAGGAAGGAAGGAAGGAAGGAAGGAAGGAAGGAAGGAAGGAAGGAAGGAAGGAAGGAAGGAAGGAAGCGACCGACGGTATTTAAAACAAAAATTCTTTTGTTTTCCTTTTTATCTTTTTCTTTTGCCTTTCTTAAAGTTTAATTAGTCACTTTTAAGCGCAATGGGGCTATCCCGAAAAATGCTGTTTTGAGAAAATGGAAGGTAAAGTTTTTGCCCCTTGTTCAGTTTCTTTAAAAAACAAGGAGAGTTTTCTCTATAACCAAACAAATATACACACCGATGAAACGAAACTTCTCCTATAGGCAGGGCAATGCCCACTATTGGTGTTGGTGAAGATATCTGGAAACCTCCGAAATCTAGGTTAGCACGCTTGTCCTTAGAAGCGACCAATTTTTGTAAGAGTTTTACGGCTCTCGCAGCATGATTAGGTGATTTCAGTGACGAATATTAGAGGTGATGCCATAGAGTAAGAAGAAAAGAAAAGAAGGTGAAACATCAAGATAAAAGGCAGGCAAAGAAACGAAGACCCCAGACAACAAGTGGGCGTCGAATCAAGCTAATAAAAAGAGATAAGATCAGATAAGATAATACTTAATAACCCAGAGGAGAATTGTTCCTGGCTGTACCTTCGCGGTTTCGCAACCAATCTTCCACCTTATAAGATAAGATAAGCTAAGGTAAGATAAGATAAGAAAAGATAGTACTTTATTATCCCACAGTGAAATTTTTCTTGGCTGTACCAGACCGTAAAAGCACTTGCAGGTATGCAAAAATATTTAAATTATATATTACTCTCATTAAAATTCAATATGAAAAGAGAGGTAAAGCTGACGAAATGTACATATCACATGAGATACATCATTCAACCACATGAAGGAATGTAAATTCCAGACCCTGAGGTTATATAAATAGACACACACTCGAAAGAGCAATACACGTTGATGATTATTTTGACAATAGCCTTATGATATATGGTAAAAAAATTATTTTATATCTTCCCGTTTTTGTTTTTAGAGGTACACATCTGCAGCTTCGTGACTTTACAATTTGCGGGGAAAAGACCACATATTATATCCAAGAGACAACAATATGTGAGGAAGAGTGGTGACAACAAAACTCAAAATGATCAACACCATATTCATCCCAACACTCACCTATCAATGTCAAACATGGACCACGAACAAGACATTAGAGCAAAGAATTACAACATGTGAAATGCGATGCCTTAGAAAAGCAGTAAACAAGACCAGGCGAGACAAATCTAGAAACTCTGAAATCCGAGAAATGGTGGGCACAAATGATGTCTTGCA